AACTGTTTGTTGTATATATTGTGTATGCTGTAATAATATCAAAATAGATATGAAACTAAGTTCATTTATTTTATTAGGTTGTTTGAATATGTTTTCTTCATTCATTGTATTAAAATAAAAGAACCAAAAAATTATATGTGAAGATAAAAGAAAAAAATGTTACATGTGAAGATAAAAGAAAAAAATGTTAGGTATGAATATAAAAGAAAAAAAATCTTACGTGTGAAGATAAAAAAAAGAGTTACGTATTTATAGTAATTGAAAATGCTTCTACAAGAAAATACATTTTTTTAAAAAATAAAAGCATAACTTTTTATTAAAAAATAATGTGAATCTCATTTACATTATTTACGTCATAGAAATAAACTTTTAATTAAAAAACATTAAATTACACAAATCATGAACCATTTTGCTTAAGAAATCAATTTCAAACCTGATTTGAGCACTATGAGCAATACTGAGTTTAAAAGTTCTTAATTAAAATTATATGATTACAGAAACATTGTTTAATGAGTTTGAGTTTCAACAGGCCCAAACTGAGTTTGAATAAGCAGGATAACATCTAGTGATCGGCAAGTTTTGTAATGTTTATTTATAGATTCTAATAATTTTTTATTGTTATAGTTTTAACGTAATAAATAATAATATGCCATATATTTCATCTGTTATTAAATATATATACCATATATATTATTTATATAGAACAACGATAATTTTTTTACATAATTTATTTATATATTAGAATTAGATTATACAATTTTTATAGCTTGTATTTATCATTGTTTAGAAAATCTATTACTAAATTATACAGCTCAAAAAAATATTTCTACAGTACCGGACAGCAAAAAACATCCAATTTTTTTTAAAAGCGCCAAATTTTGAGATTAATACTCAAATCTGATTGGCTATTTTTTGTGTAACAAGATTCTGATTGGTTAAAAATCTATAAAAACAATTTTTTTATATATTAAATGCCAAATTTTTGGTTACATAGTAACTTTAGGCTCTAATAACCTTTTAAATTTATAATAAAATAAAAATCTATTCTAACAAAATTGTAGCTTAGACTAAAAGCAACAAATCTGTAAGACAGATTTTTTTTAAATTCATTTGTTTGTAAATTATAAGCATTTTTATATTTATATATAAAAAGTAGATGTTTCTTGCTGTCCGGTACTGTATTTCAATTAATTATATATATTTAGTAATAATTGTGATAAATATTAAAAGTTTTTTATAATTATCACAATGCTATAAAATTTATATTAAATTTTTAAATATTAAAATTTTTTAATTTAACTTTTAAAGCAAAACACTAACAAACTTTTCAAGAAGAAACTAATTTCCAAAGAACCTTCATATTGATAGTTTGTAACTTAAAAAGATTATATACTAAATTTACTAATTGCTTCATTATAAGTGATTTCATTATTATTATTAAATTTATCTATATTCTCAATTGTTTTTATAATATTATCCTCTGGATCTTCTAATAGCTTCCTCTAAAGTATTTTCATTTTCTAAATTGAAAGATTCATTAGTATTAAGAAATTATATTTTTTAGTAATACAATATTTAATATACTTATACTGATCCTCTGTACACAAAAATACAAAAACAAAACAATGACAAAAAACAACAGAAATACACAAATGGCTATAGAAAACAAGACTTGCAGCTCTAAGTAAAAAGCAAGAAGACTAAAAATAATACTCAGTCTCTTAAGAGACTTAAGTAAATAAAACAGAAGTGGCAAAGATATAGTAGAAAAACTTGAAAAATCATTGATAATTTTGCTTTTTGCAAGTCGTTTGGGGGATTGGCTTTAACTCTGTAATGCAGATCAGTTACTGTCATACAAGATATACAACACATAATGAAGAATAAACAAAGAAAACACATTAAAATACATGTAATAGATTAAAATAAAGAAGATATACAAACACAACAAATTAGTTACGTGAAGCAAAAAACAATAGAAAATGCTAGAACAAAACCTACAACAGCAAAACAAGCAGAGGAACAAATAGCAGCAATCTATATAGAATTAAAACAATATAGAGCAGGAAGAATTAAATATACAGATTGCACTTAAGGAAAGAAATAATACAGCATATCAAGAGGTGATACAGTTAGAAATCGACTCAACAGAACACATTCTACTAGACGAAGTAACCAGTACTATAAGAAATCTATGTGTAGCAGAAAGAGAAAGGCTGTTTACATGTAATAAAAAAGATTGGCTGCCGAGTATGCAAAAGCTAGAATAGAAACAGAATAGATGAAAAGACTAAATAAGCAGAGAAAGTGTTGACAAAGGCAACATAATAAAATAAATTAGGACTATTATTATAGTGCTTTAAAGAATCTGTAGAGTTAATGAAAATAAAACAACACAAAAAAAAAAGAAAAATAAAATTAGAAAGGAAATAAAGAAGATGCAAGTTTGACAGAAAGCAAAGCTGCTAGAACAAAAACATAAAGAAGCTAAAGAAAAAGAAGATATATTGAAGAAAAGAATCACAAGAAGAAACAAAGAAGGCCTCATAGAAAAGGAAACTTTAAACAAACTAACTGAAGAATCAAGACCAAAAATTCTAGCATTAACCTTAATAGAAGAGGAAAACTCTATCAAGATACAAATCAAAAACCTACAAAAGAAAATACTAAGGTGGAGAGCAGATTTTATAGTTCAAGTAAATTTAGAAAGCAGACAAGATAAGAAATCTTAAAAGAATGGAGTAGACGAATTAGATTATTAATGAACATTAGCATAAATAAAAATAATATCATACAAGATGCAGCAACAGGAAGAATAGTAGAAGTCAAGAATTAGAAAAGAAAAAAGAAAGATACCAGGTTTAGAATAGCAAAAAGAAGTATAAAAAAAGTAGATAAAAAGCAAGAGAAGTGCTTTAAACTGCAAAAGAAGCTATATGCAGTTTCGAACAGTCAAGAATTGGAAGAGGAAAAAAACTTCACACTGGAAACAGTAAAGAGGTTTTTAAAAAGACCAAAAGATAAAGAGAAGTATACAAGATCTCAAAAGGCACTTATTAGAAGAAATATAAGACTATGGAGTAGAAGAAAGAAAGAAAGCACAAAGTTTTGATAAAAAAAAAGAAGATCTAGACAAATTAATCAAGACCTAGAAGCAGAAAAATCAAAAGTAATATCAAAGAAACTAGAAGAAGGAAAAAGCTGCAGATGAATACTTCTGAAAAAAATCTGTATAAAGAATACAATCAAGAGCAAGAAGAATAAGGTGAAGCTTAGAAACTGAAAGAAATATAAAAGATGGGAGAAAGTAGAAGATTGAAGCGCCAGAACAGACTACTAGTAGAAAGAAAAAAAATAAAGTATGAAAAGATGAATTGGGGTAACTATAGAAGATCACAGAAAAAATTAAATAGTAGCAAAATTTTTAGAATTTATAGAATAGAAAATACACAATATAATAATCTTACCTTAAGATTAGCAATTCGATGTTTTGTATTGTTCGCAAGTACTGGCCACAGCCAAAGCACAATTACATTGTGGAATATAAATATAATTAGGTAGTACTGACAAGGCAGGTAGTCGCCAGCTAATAACCAAAGAGAAATAAATTCTTAGTGAGTTAAGGATCCGGAGGAAGGCCAAGGACTACTAAGGTAGGTTGCATCTTAGTGAAAGCTGGGGTGAGTCTCTAGTTTGGTTAAATTAGTAATAGCTATAGATAGAAATGTATAATTCTTGAATAGCTTAATCTCAAATAAACAGAGGCAGGATTGCCGAATTATAAAAAAAAAGTATTAACAAATACCACATAGGCCAAAATTAAAAAAGCAATAATCTCTCAAAAACTTCAAAGTAAAAAAGAACATTTCTGTATTAATAGCATTAATTAAGTTACTAATTAAACTTAAAGGATGGTCTAATAACTAAAAGCTATATCTAACTATATTAAAAAGACTTAAAAATACATTATAGCTACAAATAAGTAGCTCTAAGGCACTATGCAACTAGTGATATATAAACAGCCAGGTAATGATTTTATAGTGAGAAAAGCAACAGACTATATGAAGCAATTCTCAGTACAACCAACAGCTACACAAGTACCAATGAATATACAAGAAGGATTAGACAAGCATTTTCAATAAGCTACCAATAAAGAAATGCTAAATAAAAAGAAAAATATTTTTTAGAGACTACAGAACCATGCTCTCTTATTAGATCACTAGCTAATATATAATATTGATAAAAGTATTTTAATTGCTCAAATAAAAGGCAAATAATACAACACTTTATAATAGGTTATGAAATAAGCCAAGAAATTTGGAAAAAATGATTTAAGTTTTTTAAAAACTTGAAAGAAAAAATTTCTCTTATAATATTAGATGAAATTTTTACAGTCTCTAATATCAAGAACCAGAAAAAAATCTACAGCAATCTGGCTCTATATTATGATTATATATAAGATTTGGTTATGGTATACCCAAGCTAAGTGAGATAATAATACAACATCAGAGAATATAATTAAAAACATCACAAATGCTAGAATCTAAAAAAGTCTTATAGTTTTGAGCAGGACTAAAAAAAAACAAAAAAAAGAAAAAGTAGTTAGATTTTTAAATATCAATATTTAATTAATAGATTGAATTTATCTGTACTAGATTTAGTATATTGTACTAGATTTAGTATATCAATAAACTAAGGTATTTATTTATTTTTATTAAATAATTTTTTATTATAGACGTTAGTTTATAGCGACCCGTCGCCATGGCAACCCCATGATCGACCAATCAAAATCGATCACGTGTATTACATGACTAGGCGAAATCGTACAAACTTAAAAAAAATTTTTTTATTTATAAAAAAATTTTACATTTAAAAAAGCCACTCGCCCACCCACTATATTTATATACTTAAAAAACATACCCACTTACCTGAAATAATGCAAACACAATGACTTTACAATGAAGATGAAAGTTGCGAACTTTCCTACGATGCATTTATAGATGGTTCCGGCGAAGAATCCAACCAAAAGTCCAAGTGACAACTCTAGCGACAACTCCAGCAATGACTCCGGCGACGATAAAAGAGAGAATAAAAAAGAAATAAACAAAAAAAAAAAAAAAGAATAAAAACAAAAAAAGAAAAACGAAAAAGAAAAGAAAAAACGAAAGAATGAAAAGAAAAGAGAAAACCAGAAAGGAAAACAAAAAAAAAAAGAGAAAAACGAAAGAACGAAAGAAAATGAAAAAAAAGAGAAAATTGAAAGAGAAGAAAAAACAAAAAAAAAAATGAAAAAAAAGAGAGAACAAAAAAAGAGAACAAAAAAGAAAATACAAAAAAAAAAGACAAAAAAAACGAAAAAGAAAAGATAAAAGAAAAACGAAAAAGATGAAAAAACAAAGAATAGAAAAAAAGAACAAAGAATAGAAGAAAAAAAGGACAGAAAAATGAAAAAAAAAGAACGAAAGAGAAGAAAAGATAAATGAAGAAAAGAGAACGGAAAAACAAGACAAAAAAAAAACAAAAAAATAGAAGAAAAAAAAGAAAAAAAAGAACAGAAGAATGAAAAAAAGAATGAAAGGAGAAAAAAGATAAATGAAGAAAAGAGAACAGAAGAACAAAACAAAAAAAGAACGAAAGAATAGAAAAAAGAAAACAAAAAAAAAGAACAGAAGAATGAAAAAAAGAACAAAGAAGAAAAAGATGAATGAAGAAAAAAGAACAGAAGAACAAGGCAATAAAAGAACGAAAGAATAGAAAAAAAAAAGAATAGAAGAATAAAAAAAAGAACAAAGAGAAGAAAAAGATAAATGAAGAACAAAACAAAAAAACAAAAGAATAGAAGAAAGAAAAGAACAGAAGAATGAAAAAAAGAACGAAGAGAAGAAAAAGATGAATGAAAAAAAGAGAACAGAAGGACAAAACAAGAAAAGAACAAAAGAATAGAAGAAAAAAGAAAAGAATAAAAAAAAAGAATGAAAGAATAGAAAAAAAAAGAACAGAAAAATAAAAAGAAAAGTGAGGAAAAAGATGAATGAAAAAAAAGAATAAGAACAAAAGAAAAGGATAAAAAGGTGAGAAATGTGAATAAAGAATAAAAAGGGCAGAAAAAAAAAACAAAAGAAAAAGCAAATAAAATGAATGAAAACAATGAAAAGAAGTTAAAAAGTATGAAAAAAAAAGAAGGTGAAGAATAAGAAAAATAGACAAAGAAACAATAGAAACAAAAACAAAAGAGAAGAAAAGAGCAAAGAAAAGAAGAAAAAAATAAAAGTATGAAAAAAATAAAAACAAAAAAAAATAAAAAAAATAAAAGCGAATAAAAAAAAGCAAAAGAAAAAAAAAACAAGTTAATTTAATAAAAGAAAAAAAACAAACTAAAAAAATTAAAAGTGCATACCTGATCCTGAAGTTGAGCGAGAGTTAAAGGGCGAAACAATGAAAACACAAAAATGAAACTACAAACACCAAAAAACAAAAAAAATACAAGTGAATAAAAAAAATAAAAGGCAAAACAACGAAAGCACAAAAACAAAATGACAAATGCCAAAAAACAAAAAAAAATACAAGCAAATAAAAAAAAGCAAAAAAAAAAAAAAAACAAAGAAAAGAAGTTAATTTTAATAAAGAAAAAAAAACAAACTAAAAAAATTAAAAGCACACACCTGATCCCGAAGTTGAGCGAAAGTTAAATGGCAAAACAAAAACGAAACAATAAATGCAAAAAAAAAAACTGAAATAAACAAAAATAAACATTACAGAATTAGATGATCGCCAATCTAAAAAATGATTGGCCGATCATATAGGGTTGCCATGGTGACAGGTCGCCATTTATAATTTTTCTTTTATTATATATTAACCTTTTGATTTATTGTAAAAAAAGCTAATAGCTTTAAATCTTTTTTAAATTTTATAAAATTTTTTTTGTTCTAAAACTTGTAGCAAAATCTAGATTTTTATCTCTTAGATTGTAATAGAACACAAGCAAATTTGCCTGCATTTTTGCACTTTTTTGGCTCTGATTTACTTTTATAAAAAACCAAAATAATTAAATAAAACTTTGTACAATTATATTTGAAAATAAGGATTACTTTTTTGCAGTATTTATTTTTAGATTATAAGAAAAAAAATTTTTTTTTTTTTTGGTATTAAGGTGGGATCTTGCCCATGACTTTATTTATTAATAATACTTTACATGTATTATCACATTTCTGGTATTACATATATAAGCTCAGACCCGGATCCTATTGGTAACCTACGCTCTGGCCAAAACAATTACTTGTGCAATAGGTGTCTCCATCTGCTACCGGCCACCAATCTAATTATCTACAATCCAAACCTACCAGAGTGGTCATCATAATCGACGTATTCATTTGGTATTTTACCACCCTTCACAAGTCCTATTTTGGTACACTTCTCTATGACGTCATTCTCTGCATCTCTCATACTACTTATATCTAAGCTTCCAAATTTGGTAGTCCCTTCTGGGATATGGCCTCATAGCCTCAAGAGCTACTTTCAATCTTGGTTATCTTCAGCTAGTCTGCCTATTAGTATCACAAAGAGGAACTCATGCTGGCCCAGGTTAAGCCTCATTATTAACACCTAGTTTAGTTAGTATGCTGCCAATTCCTATTACCTTATCGGTAGATACTTCTGTATGTTGGTGCAAGCTCGCAGTGTTGCATTATAGGTTACCTCATAACTTCCAGATTGCAGGTTTCGTATTACTTCTCTTTCATAGTTTGGGCTATAGTGTTCTGGTGCCCTGACATTTTAGGTTACAAGGCTCTAGAGGTCTAGACCTAGTTGTGGCTTGTGGTCTATAATACTTCCAATTTCAGTATTTGGAATTCCTTATCAATTTCTGGTATACAAGCTCGATTTGTACAATTGTACTACCAGCCCGGTGAATCCAGCCATTTCGAGTTTTTACCATGTACCCTGAGTTTCAGCCTTCTCGTTCTGTCCTCACAGGTTTCTTCCTTAATAAGCCAAGTGGCTTGGAGCCAGAGGTGCTTCCAAACTCCAGATAGACCAATCCTTTACCACAAGTCATCCTCGTGTTTACCACTTTTCTCACTACTCTAGTTTTGTTACCATCATGTCACTCTCCCAATCAAGTACCCCAACCACTAGGAATGTTAGTGCTGCCTCGGTCACCCCTAATCGAAGACTAACATGTACAACCTTCATGTAACAGAACCTTCTATAACCTGTCATACGTAGTGCCACCACTCCACGATTGGATCTCCTTCCGGAAATTTCCTTTCCCGGTTTCGTACTTGCACTTGGACTTAACCACAGGGCTCCGCATTTGATTATGGCCCCCTATTGGGTTACAGAAGCTAAAAATCCTAAGATTTTGCCTCCAGCCCGACTCGAACCGTTGACCTAGTCTGTGAGATAAGAAAAAATTTTTAAGTTACTTATGAACCTAAAATATATAATTTTAAAAATAATTTATAAAGAAAAAATTTTTTAGTTTATCTATAACAAACTTTTTTTTTTCTCTTTTTCTTGTATTCCTTATGTTAGTTGCTTGAAAGATTTCTTTGAGTATGTTAGGTATGGGTTCATTTCCTGCTCCTTTAAGTGAATTATATACAGTTTCCCAGATAATTTTGCTGAGTGGACATTTTAGAACAAAGTGTTCTATAGTTTGAGTAACATAGGGGCAGTTTGAACAGTCCCCAAGGTTGTTTTGGTCAATATGTACTAAGTGGTAGCCTAGTGGAAGTGCTCTGTGAGTTAATCTCCAAAAGATATCCTTCTTTTTATTTAAGATCTATTTTGTTTTTATCCACTTATAAGGTGTGTGACTCTTGTTCTGATCATCTGAGATTGTTCGGTTGTTTTGTGCCAACTTAATAGAGCTTTTTTGACAGTGAATTGATGTCCATCTATGTCATTTATTTTGATTTGCTCAAGTGTCTATAGCCAAGAGTGGGCTGCACTAATGCTACCTTTAAATCTTTTTCAGGCTATAATATAAGGTTTCCAGCTGTCTGTCCAACCTTTGGTTCTGCAATATACTTGGGATAAAGCTTCTTTAGGAGTTAATCTTCTTTTGTTTTGAAGCCTTATTGTTGCTTGTTTTCTTTCCATTATGGCCCAGAAGGAGTTGTCTGAGAGAAGTTTGATCCAAATTGATAAAAGCCTAGCGTCAAGCATGTCTTTAAGAATTGGAGCTGATAACTCTCCTTGCTCTGTACTGAGTTGAAAAGTTGAGTACTGTGGTAGTATTCTTGAGTTCTTCTTTATCCAGTTTATGATTAAAGTATTAATTTCATTTAGTTGTTTTCTTGTAGGTGGTAGTAAGTAGGCCAAGTACCATATTTTAGAGATAAGTAATGTCTTGGATGCTAGAATTTTTCCTTTGAAAAAGAGATTTCTTTGTAAAAAATCTTGTATTTTATTTAGGAATTTCAGACCAGAGAGTTTTCGCTGGATGTTCTTCTATATCTACAGTGTAACCTAAAATAGTAAAAGTATTTTGGTCTTCACTGGGGAGCCTAAACCTATCTTTTTTTTTTTTTTTTTATTATAAAAATCGCATTTAAGCGTACTTTATTTATGTTGCATAATTACATATTTACATTAGGGGTTTAATAAAGCTAATTATATTCTTGGCTAATTTATATAAAAGGTTGTACTCATGTTTAAGTCTAATGGTAACTATATTGGCAATAGATTCTTGAGGAATTATTGTGCTTCCCCATCTAGCTTGAGTATACCAGCACCATATTTCATAAATAGTGGTTATGTGGAGCCAAATTGCTGCTTCTTTCTTTTTCTTGTTTTTAATGTTGGTCGCTTGAAAGATGTCGTTAAGTGTATATGGAGTGAGTTCATTTTCTGAACCCTTAAGCAACTTATATGCTGTATCCCATATTAGTTTGCTTAAGAAACATTTCAGAGCGAAGTGTTCAATTGTTTGAGTAATATATGAGCAGTTGGGGCAATCTCCTAGGGTGTTATGATTAATATGAATTAGACGGTATCCTAATGGGAGCGCTCTGTGATATAGGTGCCAGAAGGTGTCTTTCTTTTTATTGAGTATCCATTTGGTGCTTAGCCATTTGTATTCCAAAAGTTTTTGGTTTCGATTGTTTCCAGCTCTGGTTTGTAGATTGGCTGTTTCATATAGGCCTTTAAGTGTATCCCTTACAGTAAATAGCGAGCCATCCTTGTTGTTAATTTTAATTTGTTCAAGTGACCAAGGCCAGTTATGATTAGCTTTGATGTTGCCTTTAAATCTTTTCCAGGTGATTATGTAAGGCTTCCATCTGTCTGACCATCCTTTGGTTTTGCAAGGAGTTTGTGTTAAAGCTTCTCTAGGGTCAAGGTTTCTTTTGTTGTATAGCTCTGAAGTTGCCAGAGCTCTTTCAG